GTGTCGAAAAACGTCGGCGATAAGCGCGCGATAATCGTCCCGGTGTGTACGAGGCTTAATTCTTAGTTTTGCAATGATGATATGGATGGATGGTTCATTTTTAACAGCAGATTCAGTGGCGTTAGAGCTGATCTGTGCATCACGGCACGCATCTGCGGCGCATTACAGCTTCACGGCCACCGGAGCTGATCGCGGCCACTCAGTCAATGCTGGTGTTTATACCGGCCGCGCTGCGGCCCAAAACTAATGCTTGTCACATCGGTCACATCACATTTCCTAACTGGGTGTCTACACTGGACGCGAGCGGTGCGGCGCGACAAAATACAATAGAACCACTGATCTATATATAATGAGTGAATAGAACCCATTATAATCAGTGATGTTGTCTACACTGGATGCAGCGTGACACGACAAGACAAATGCTGACAGTAAACTGATGCCTTGTTCTATTTATTACATACTGACACAAAGTTCAAATGATTTTCAAAGGTCGCTTTGCTGCGGCGCGGACACGGTGTCAGCATAGTTTGTCAGTACAGTCAGTAATGTAGCAGATTGAAAAGTTAGTATCTTTCTGCAGTCCAATAGACGACAGAGCGGTGGTGGCTTGAGTCTGTTGAATGGAGATTTAACGCTACGTTGTCACCTAGTTGGTAAGACTCAATGCTATAAAGTAAATAAACGACAATGTCCCCGTCTTTCTCTCACAATGAGCTTATCAAATTCATTTGCTACATTAGTAGGGCCCTGTGATTTCCGCGATGCAGAAAACGCAGACGGAATCCATTCATAAAAACGGAATTTATTGTATAACGCGGAATTTCATGGAATTTGTCTTATTTTTGATGAATAAATAAAAAACAGGGCAGTACACTTAAATCAAATTGCGTTATAGACTAGTGTCTGAATATTAAACTGCAAAAAGACGAATCCTCATGTTCTGTATGTTCATTTGATCACCAGAAAATACATAACACAGAATTTGTGAAAAAATATTATTCATTATTATTATTTATTCATTTTAGATGTTTACATTTGGAAAAGCTGTGCTTCCTGCATAAACCTGCCCCTGTTGGTTTGGCAGTAGCTTGCTTGCCCTACAGATATTCTGTTTATGTAGGCTATATACTGTATTATATACATAGTACCAGTCAAAAGTTTGGACACACGAATGGGAAGTGTGTCCAAACTTTTGACTATACTGTACTATAATATAGCCTACAGATAAAAAATACTGTCCGATATATCAATATCGGTCTTTTTTACTTCCTAATATCGACCCCCAAAAAACCATATCGGTCGGGCTCTAATGATTATAACCTGCATTTTGCATAATGAAAAGTGCACTTTGAATTCATTCAGTGGTATTTGACAATCACTAAAGAATAACTAAACAGCTGCCATGAAAACACACTTCTTGTACAGTACATTTATTTTCATTAAATTCTTAGTTTTCTATTATAAAAAACTAAATAGGGGCAAAAGTCTGGAAACAAATATTTTCCATACTTTGCTTTCTTTTTTCCATACTTTTCCAGACCTGGAAAAATACTTAGATCAAATTCCATACTTTTCCAAACCCTGTAGGAGCCCTGTTATATGATTTTTCTTCCATTCATGCATTGTTATATTATTATAATTTATATAGATATTTCTGGGGTGGGTTTCTAGTTGTAAATCAGAATCCAATCCTTAAAATTAAATGCTATATTTATTAGTGTAAAAACTTCTCCAATAAGACAAATGAAAATATTTAGCCAAATCAAGCTGATTAAATATGTACTTATTGATTAGTTTTTGATCAAATAAATCTACAGGGTGGCCAATATATTGCAGATATATACATAATACAACTTTAATGATGACAACTGGAATTAAATCAAATACTCAGCCTAAAAAATGTACTGGTTAATCAATAGATTGAGTCCTGTAGGATCATACAGACTTGAATGCTTCAAAATAAATAATTAAACATGACCGCATTGCATCTGTTTTTTGTTTAATATATCACCTCTTTCTCAGAATACAGCGATCTGGCCACAATATCCAGCAGTTTCTTCGTCTCTGCTTGAAACTCGTGTTTGGAGTAAGATCCTTATTTGAACAAAGAAACAAGAGTTTAAACATATACTTGCAATTTCAATACACTATAGTATATGCTTTAAGTTTTGTGAAATATTATTACAATTTAAAATAACTTTTTCTATTTGAATATATTTTAAAATTAAATGTATTGCTGTGATCAAAGCTGAATTTTCAGCATTGTTACTCCAGTCTTCAGTGTCACATGATCCTTCAGAAATCATTCTAGTATGCTGATTTGCTGCTCAAGAAACATTCTGATTATTATTAATGTTGAAAACAATTGTGCTGTTTTTTAGAATTATTTGATGAATAGAAAGGAACCACATTTTTTTAAATAGAAATCTTTGACATTATAAATTTCTTTCCTATCACTTTTGATCAATTTAATGCATCCTCGCTGAAAGAAAGTAATAATTTCTTACCAAATAAAAAATAAAAAAATAAATCTCTCTGACCCCAAACTTTGGTTTACCTTGAACGTTCTCGGTGTCACTGATGATTGTGTGGAGCGTCTCCTCCTCTGTGCTCTCAGCCTGTTGTGTGCTGTATCTGCGATGAGCCACACTGACCCCAGCAGCACAGCTGGAGCTCCAGAGTCTGGCAGCTCTGGTGTGAGGAAGGTGCTGTCTGACATTAGTGTGAACTGCTGAAGAAAACGAGTCAGAATCATCAGAATCAAACAGCACTGATGTTTAATTAACCATATAGAGGGGTTTGGATTTGATAATTGCTACTGTCTATGCTCTATAGTCTATGGAGATTATTTACTGATAATGGTATCATTACTGAACATGTCCAACTGAGTAATAGACTTATTCTGCACAAATCCTGTTTATTTTGTTAATGAGACAAATACATGTTTTAACCGAAAAGCCTGCGTTTATTTGATTAAAATCATTCGTCCCGTTATAATATTTCATCACGCTGCTGTTCTGATTCACTGATCACACTATCTAACAGCTCATCCATGATAAACATATTAAACATGTACCTCCAGTGAATGTGGCAGAGACTAACGTTATTCTTTTCCCGACTCCTCTGCTGGATGACAACAGACTGATATGAGCCCTCTGAGAGACATTCAGAGAGTATTTGAGTAAACTTAATGACCGTATCATATCTGCTTCTGCTGCTGCTGCTGTAGTTTGACCAACAGAAGACTTTTTTCTTTTCTTTTCTTTTTTTTGACCAACAGAAGACTGGAAACTGCGGCGTGACCGGCGTACGGTGAGTGAAAGGACCCTGCGGACGCTCACTGATGACGTCTGCGTGCAGTTCGATACATGCCTGTGTAAAATATTTTACATTATGGATGGATGGCTTTTGGAGAACACTACAGTATTGGGTGATAGAAAAATATGTGGTTGCGGATACTTTCACCTTGGAAGATATAATGTATGGTAGAGCCATACAATCTTTTGTTTGATTAATTACATCAAAATAATGGCAAAATATGTTATAGCCTGCATAAATATAGATTCTGTTTTTTATTGTTAATAATTAGGCAAAACAAACTGTTTCAAATGACATTATGTGGCTTTGAATGAAAAAACTGATTGTAGAAACACATTTACCCATTATGTAGATACACGTTGTACATTTGTGTCTTGCTTTCTCTGGACTAACTTAACCAGTTGATTGTAGATGTGTATGTAAAATGTATTCGTTCCTTAAGTGTAAATGTGCAAGTATTCAGAGCCACATGCATGTTAACACACGAGTTTATAATGTTTTATCATCTGTGTCCTCCAGCAATGAAGTTTATTTGTTTGACTCTGCTGATTATTACTGGAATCACAGATTCGAGATCAGGTAATTATTCACACCCATGTAAAGAGCTGAAATGTGTTCATGGGTGATTCTATAATTGCAGGTCAGTCATTCTTGAGAAGTGGGACAAAACAGGGTGCAAAATTGAAAAAATAAAACCTTGTACTCAGACAAATGAAACTACATTTGTGTATCTTATGTGTACTAAGCTACTGAGCTATGCTTTGATACAACCTCCCAACTTTTCTCTTTTTTAACAAAATGTGCTTTTTTTTTTTTACTGGAAAAAGGTTTTATGGATAGAGGATTTGTATTTTAGCCAAAAGCAAGGGTTTGATGTTAAAAACATCTTAATAGATTGTACAAACACACAGCTTTTCGCTTAACATTGATTAATGTACTGCAGCCAAATTGATGATTACTTGTGGATTATAGTGATGTTTTTAATCAGCTGTTTTAATTCTCGTTCTGACGGCACCCATTCACTGCAGAGTATCCACTGGTGAGCGAGTGATGTAATGCTAAATTTCTTTAAATCTTTTCCGATGAAGAAACAAACTCATCTACATTTTGAATGACCTGAGGGTGAGTACATTTTTGTGTGAACTTTTCCTTTAATTTTTCAACATGCTAAAAGTCATAAAAACCTATTTTAGTAACTGCAATCATTCCGAATGTGCGATTAACATGATGTTAAAAATACTATATTTTCTCTTCCTTTTTACTATCAGAACGAATAGAAATTTTATATATAAAAGCCCTAAATACTAATTTACTTAATTCTTCAACATTAAATTGTTTAAAAATAACTTTTTTTCTTATAAAAATGTGTGTCCATAAATCATGCTTCAACTCTGTTACCGTACCATATTTTGCCTTTAAATTGGTGGAATTATCTCAGTATTTGAATCATGATTTCATTAGTGCCATGTGCTCTTAACATTTATGCTAGCAAGTGGAGTTTTTGGCAAAAATTAAATAAAATTGTCAACTCTGTTACCAAGGTAGAGTAACAATGCTGACAATAGTGTAACCAAGCGGACAATTCTATGAAGACATAGGCATTTTTTATTTTTTTAAGGTATGCATAGGTGAAATATTATCTCAGTTTCAAATGTTGGAATGTAAGGACTATTTGTGAATTATTAAAATTGAATATGTTTTCAATGAGATACTGGAAAGAATTTATGTTAGTGAACAGTTTTTTTCTTAACTTTATGAAATGCCAAATGTATCTCCAGTTATAGAATCACCCTCATGTCTATTCATCGTCCAGCTGAACTATATTTATAATTATAGTTTAGTTTATAGTGTATGTGATAATGACCAGACCACTGTAAGTTATGACATTTATTACATAGCTACTTAGCAAATAAATGAAGTGAAATTTTGATCTCAGCTGAAATTATTCTATTAACTTACTTGTAGAAACCACAGAACAGAAACTGTAGGTGTCCTGGATGAATGGTCAGTTATTTAACGTTGCCATGGACAACTGTCATTATTCAGAAATATTGACCAATTAGAATAAAGTTTACAAAGAGCCATTTAATAATAAAACATAGCTTAGAAAAATGCACACAAGCAGTGTTTTCAAGCAGAGATGTTCGGATGCAGAGCTGTGTGGAGAAGGACAGCTGCTGTTTTACATGGGAACGCTGTAGCCCTTGAAGGTTGGCTGTTCAACTGATAGGAGGTTCACTTTTAATAAGACCTGCTCTCTTTATCTTTTACAGAGCAGTATGAAGTAGTTGGATCTTCTGATCCTGTTCTTGCTGTATCTGGTGAAGATGTGATTCTGCCCTGTTCAGTCAAACCTCTCATGAGTGTTGTGGACATGAGAGTGGAGTGGTTTAGACTTGATCTGAAAGACTCAGTAGTGCATGTTTATGAGGATCATGTAGACAAAAATACAGACCAGAGTCAGTCCTACAGAGGAAGAACAAAACTGATACATCAAGAACTACAGAGAGGAAACGCATCACTCAAACTCTCAACAGTCAGAGTCTCTGATGAAGGACGTTATAAGTGTTTTATTCAGTCCAAATCCTGGTATGATGATGCTACTGTTGATGTTAAAGTTGAAGGTGAGTAAACCATTGAAAACTAATAGCTGGAATATACTACATAACTTTTAAAATCTGAACAGATTTTAAAACAATAGGCATCATACATTTACTGACTTTGTGAATAGTCACAAAGGAAAACTGGCCATCATACACTACACAACTGAGGATCACAACAAACTCACGCAGAAACGTGTGCCTAGGAGACGCTTGACAAATGAAAACAAAATGTGATCTAAAATCAGCTGAAAATATCAAACGTATGAAAAATCAGGGCAATAGTCGTGTAATGTATTCCAGCCTTAACATGTTCTTACTAACTTAAAAAAAAGCCAGAATAACAACAGAATGTTCTTCATCTTCATCTGTAGTTGTAGGACATCCTCCAGTGATCACTGTAGATGGGTTTGATCATTCAGGAGGGCTTCGTCTACAGTGTGAATCTGAAGGTTGGTATCCTGAGCCTGTTCTTGAGTGGCTGAACAGTGAAGGAGTCAGTTTGAGTTCAGAAACTACAGAGACACACAGAAACACAGATGGGTTCAGTGTGAAACACACTGTCACTGTATATGAGAGAGACAGCAAGATTCACTGCAGAGTCAAACTGAGACATCACATGCTGGAGACACTGATTATCACCACAAGTAAGTACTGACACTTTTGTTCCTGTAACTGTTTGTCATCTTCTCGTGGTATTTTTGATTCAGTGAAAAGATTGAATGATTATCAGCTTAGTCCATTACATTATGTAAGGCTAAAATATTTTACTGTGTATGTACCATTCAGAACTCAACATTATATATATATTTTTTAATCATCTCGCCAAAATACGTTTGATTTACTCAATGCACTTAACTACTGTTTTATTTTACAGGTAATATGTTTAATTCTTGGAGGACATCAGTCATCCTGATTTCAGTTTTTGTTGTGCTCAATGTGATTGCTGCAATACTGATAGCTGTGTTTGCTCGTAAAAACAGAGGTAAAATGCTTGTTTTCTTAATATTTTATATATTTTATGTAAATACGTCAGTATGACAATAATTTTCAAGGCAAGTTTATTTATATAGCACATTCCATACACAATGGTAATTTAAAGTGCTTTACATAAAAAAGAATTACAAATAATCATAAAAAATCACAACAATAAAAACAAGGATTACAAATTTAAAATGATTAAAAAATGTATTTAAATTGAATTAAATCAGTTAAGAAAAAAGATGATGATACATAAAATACAGTGCAATCATTCGGACATAGCACATGGCTCATTCAGTAAATGCACAGCTAAACAGATGTGTTTTGAGTGTAGATTTAAATATAGCTAGTGTTTTAGCACATCTGATCTCTTCTGGAAACTGATTCCAGCTGTGGGTGGCATAATAGCTAAAAGCAGACTCCCCTTGTTTTGAGTGAACCCTTGGTATTTCTAACTGACTTGATCCTGAAGTAGCGTTAAAAAGGCTTATTTTTCAGTCTAGACCTGCCATTGCACATGTGCAGTCATAAGCGTGAGTCTCAGGTTTCTATGGGAACCGGAGCTTCTAACAGCAGCTGCAGTGATGCAATGACTTTACCAATCAGGGATTGGCTCTTTCATTCAGAAGGCGGAACTATTCCGCCATATTGCACATTGCAGTTTCTCCCATTCGTAAGTGATAGGAGTGAACCATCTTTGTATATCTATAGTCTTTGTTCATACTCTGTCCAGGTGTGTGTCATTCCGGTTGAGTGGACTGGCACACACTGCTGAAGGATGATGGAGGGAGACTTAGATGTTGTTCTTCAGCACTCTTGGACCTAGTTTGTTTGGGTGGAGGCCATCCGGTGTAAACAGTTATCTATGAGTTCAGAAAAGATTTAAGTTGTCAATGAAGTTCACTCCCTTCATATTGCAGGTTTTAATTTTCACATGTCACATCTCAAATTATTTTGAGTGTATTTTGTTTAATATCAATCTATGATGAAAACTTTAAACAATATTGAATGACTTCATATGAATGCTCTTGTTGGCTGGTTTCCTTGGTTGAACAGGATGAATTTTCATTTGCAGTTTTAACACACTGTTTTCTGTGTCAAGCTTTGCGACTACACTGAAAATAATATGTGTTATGAAAAAATTTATTATGTTACAAAAATGCAAAACAGAATTTTGTCTACACATTTTTGTTTTGATAAACCACCTCATCTGCGAAACATGATGTTGAGGAAACAAAATTTTTTGAATTTGTCTTTATTAAATAATTTGGCAACTCTTTAGAGACCAATTCTCACTATTAACTAGCTGTTTATTAGCATGGTTATTACTAGCATATTGGCTGTTTATTAGTATTATAAAGCAGATTTTAATGCCTTATTCTGCATCACCATATTTTACATCCCGTAATCCACCCCATACCTAAACTTAACAACTACCTTACTATTAATAAGCAGATCATTAGTTTATTGAGGCAAAAGTTGTAGTTAATAATTAGTTAATAGTGAGAATTGGTCCCCAAACTAAAGTGTGACCAATAATTTAATTCAGTATTCATGTCAAGTCTGTTTTCATCCACAAAATATTTAATTAACAGGCATTGTGTATTCATATACTTTCGTGTATATCTTAGATCCTGTGATTAGTAGTTATTGTTCCTGATTCACAAATTATATTTCTATTTGTTGTCTGAATTCTGTTTTCTCTCATCTTTATTCAGAATTTTCTTCAGCACTCGATCGGCTAGAGAAGGAGAAGAGAGGACTACAACAGGGTGAATCTGTCTTTATTATGTTATTAATTCATTATTCATTTAAAGTCTGTTGTCAGGCATAAAACACAGTTATGTATGCATTCATTTATTTTGTGTATATCTTGGGTCTGGTAAATGGTCACCAGTTGTTTATACAGTATAATGTATATTTATTCAGGTCTGTCATGGCTGGTTGCAAAAAAGACAATATAGAGCTGGATCTAAGCGCAAGCAGTATTGTTTAATGAAAAATAACACAAAAGAAACAGAGCACTGAACAACCAACTTAAAAATGAGAAGATAACGAACCAAAACCAAGGCTATAAATACACAAGGGCATTACATGGGACAGGGGTAACTAAATCAGTAACCAAGGCAACAAACAGTAATTAACACAGGCGGGAAAACTAGAACTAAGGAAACATGCACAAAAACACAAAACAGAACCTAATCCTGACACGCAGGTTCTTGTATCATGATGGTGCTGAACAAACTCAGGGTTACAGAATGAGTTTTGAGTTGACAAAAACCAAACCAATCCAAAAAAAAACCTTTGTTGGTACCATGACACTGATCATCAACTTTCTCTGTCAGCTCAGGCTTTATGGAGCACGTGCACATGAAAGTGTGACATCAGTAATGAACAGCCAATCACATGCCTTGAAACTGTGATTCATCTCTCACGAGAGAGTCTGTGCGATTTACTGCCAAAGATTAAAAGATTGAAAAATATAAAGAATTTAAACACATTTACACAGTAAGATGAAAAGAGCTGTCCATGAAAGAGGACAACTTAAAGAAAACATCTTGCCATATCAGTGCAAGTGATAGTTGTGAAGTGTATATAATTTATATAATTGATAATATAAATAGGTATACAGAGACTCAACAATCTAAGCTCATATGTCATGTTTAAAGCTTTATCTATTGATTCTAAAGCTTATTTATATTTCATATTATCTGTATGTATTTATATTCATTTAAAATAAAAGCTTAATTATTAAACTAAAATGGATTAAGGGTATAATAATTATGTAAATCATATAAAATAATTACAATAAATAATCATTACTAAAAGCCAGACGATCTTTAAATATGTTTTACTATGTAGTGTCATTTAATTTGGAGCAAGAGAAACTGGAGGAGTGATTTTATTGTGTCAGAGATGTGTCAGTTTGCTCAAAGCTGATTGGTCAGATTTCAGTTTGTGATCTCTAAACCAGAACATAATCTGCCCCGGAGCAGGTTATCTGTGGAGCGCAAGTTACTATGGCGATGAACACCGCTGAAAGCCAAACCACTTTCATGGTGCCTAAAACCCAGAGTTGGCACAAACTAAACTGAAACTTACCTGTAGTCAGCTAAACCAGCTTCATGGCTCCTGATGTGCACTCGTGTGGCATTAACACACACTATATACACAACTAAATGATCATGACTTGTTTGTCAGAGTGATCAAAATGATTGAATTTTAATGTTTTCTCATCTTTTTCATAATTTTCTTTAGAACGTGAACAACTTTTAGAAAGTCTGAAGACAATTATACCTAAAGTTGAATTTGTTTTATATGGCTTAATTAAAATATAAATTAATTACTTAGAAATTATTTAGCAAAACAATGAATGAATGAATATGCTGTGCATTCATATATGTATTCAATTCATTAAATTTTATTACAAGATATATAAACTGTGTAAATCTTCTTGGATTTTGTTTGTCTTCAGGTGGTGGTTGAAAAAATAACTTTATTGATCTAAAGATGAATTCTGTTCTGAAGCCTTTATAACTTCATACTTTCTGTTTTTAGCTCTCACACATTTAAGAACACACTCGGGTGAGTAAAAGGGCATAAATATTTATTTTAATTAAAGGCATATTTTATAGCATAATTACTTTAATATATACATTATTTATTATAATGATTTATTTTACATACATAACTAAATAAAAGCTAGACAAAAACATGCAAATGAAACAGGACAATCAGAACATTTTAGTCTATCAGCAGTACATGTGAAAATTATGAACATTATTGTTTATAATGTAATGTATTAGATATTACATTTATTTATAATTAATGGTGTATCTTTATTTTGTTTATATTGTAAAGTTCTCATTATTCCTATAAAAATAAATAATTGTCTTCTAATTATTGTTTCTTCATCATATACTCATCTGTAAAGCATATTCATTTTCAATATTTTCCACAGTGAATGTGATTCTGGATGCTGATACGGCTCATCCACATCTCATCGTGTCTGATGATGGGAAACAAGTGAGATATGAAAAGACACAAACGAATGGAGTGGATGGAGGAAAAAGATTTGATGAAGATCTTGGTGTTCTTGGGAAGGAGGGATTCTCCTCAGGGTGTTTCTACTTTGAGGTGCAGGTGAACGGACAAACTGCATGGGATTTAGGAGTGACCAGAGAATCTGTTAACAGGAAGGGCGGGATCCGTCTGAGTCCTGAGAATGGATACTGGACTGTGGGACGGAGAGATGGGTTGTATCAAGCTCGTGATTCTTCTGCTTACTCTCTTTCTCTGAGTGTGGATCCTCAGAGGGTCGGTGTGTTTGTGGTTTATGAGAAAGGTTTTGTCTTCTTTTACGATGTGGAGTCCAGCTCTCATATCTACTCTTACATTAATCAGTCTTTTAATGACAAACTCTATCCATTTGTTTGTTTGGGGTATTATAGGAATACAAACTCCACACCACTGATCATCTGTGATTATTACTAATAAGATCAGTGAATTTACATGATCAACTGAAATAAAAGAAAACACAAATAAAAGGGTAACGGCAATAAATAGATAGTAAAGTTCGTAGACAAACTTTGAAGTTGGCTTGAGAAAGGCAGGCCCAAAAGTTTTAAAAGTTTGATGGTTTTCATTTTCTTTGAAATTGTTTACAAAAATTAAAGTCTGGATGTATTGAAGGCAATACAGTCTATTAGAAAAACAGATGTTTGACAGTTTTGACAGTTGGAGTTTGAATAGTCTTGGCTCATTTGAACATTGTCAATGTAAGTCTATGGGATTTTTATGATTTTTAATCTTCAGTTTTATGAAAACCATAAGTCCGATCAGTTAAGAAAGATATAGCAACTAACTTCTGATCAGTCTGAAGATCTGAGCTGAGTTTGGTGGTTGTAGAGTTAAAGCTCTAAGTTACAGTCAACAGAAGAATAATAATAAGTTTAAATAGCATTTCAGTAAGTTGGCTTTTTCAAGCCAACTTAAATATTAAATATTATTTACACTACCAGTCAAAAATTTGGACACACAAGGGTGATTTTATGTTTACTGTGATCTTAAAATATTTAGATTTAAAGACTTCTGCTTAAATGACTTTATAAAAGAATATACATAATGCCTGTATGAATTTATTTACAAGATCGATGCTTTACTTCAACATGAATAATATTTTGATCTGGAGCAGAAAATGAATGAGGAGCATCATGAAGATACAGTTATACTGTTCCTTCTTTAATAGTGTTTGCTGTTTGTTGATGAATGTTCTTCATTTTCATTTTTATTATTAATTTGATTTCTCACTGATTTTGTATTCCATTGAATTGTGTCTTTCCAACCCTGTTTTAATTTTTCTCTTGTTGTCATGTTATCATTATGTCTGAGCCTCTCTGTTCGAGACAAAATTGATTTTTACTGCCAAGCTCCTACAAGGACTGTTACGTTTACCCGGTTTTGTGTACCTTGTGTTTTTGATATTTGGACCTTTAGGTTGAATTCTGCCCTGTTTTGTTCATGTTTCCTGTTCTGTTTGTAGTCCTTTTAATTCCCTGATTGTTTCCAGGAGTGTCTTGTTAGTCTGTTAGCTCTTGTGTATTTAAACTCCAGTGTTCCTGTTTCCTGTGGTCTTTGTCGGTCTTGTCCATTGTTGGATGTGTTGTTGGTGTTTTCAGCAAATACATATGCATATCTCTTTATTTATACAGTTCTATATAGAGTAAATAATGCACACATCTGTACATAAATCTACTGTTCCAGATTCATACACATTATTTATTGTTAAGTTTTACTATTTTAAATCATTGGCTACCAGAAATCACTTACTCTGCCTTTAATTTACATTTGTAATTTTTACTTATGTTCTATAAAGATGCTATAAAAACATTACTATTGCAATTTTCATATAATAAGGTCCAAAAGTGAAAATGTCACATTTTGAGTTATCATCAACAATTTGAGCGAAAAATGGTGACTTATTTGTCATCATTTAGGTTGTTCAGTCAGTGATAAAAAAAAACAAAAAACGTAAAACTAAGCCAGTAATGACTTCTTTATAATCGTCTTACGAACTCTCACTGCAGCAGAATTTATTCAGACACTCAAGACAATTTTTTAAAAATGTATTTCATATTTAAAATTAAAATATTTTTCAGTCTGTGTCAGTAAACAACAGCTGCCCATTAGAAAACTTATCCCATATAGTGTGACAGTGTGTTTCTATCTGTCTTGTTTTCCTGGGTAATGACAGTGAAATATTTCACAAAATATCAAATTAACAAACACTGTTTAATCATACGAAAGGAAAATGAGTTAATAAAAGTGCAAGTGCAAAAAAAAGTTAAGTAAAAGTGCAGTTATTGTTATTAAAATATTACAGATCTGAAAGGTTTTAATTTAAATTAGGTCTGTTTATTTTCCCACATTTATAATTGAGCTCATTTATGATCATTTTAAAGTTGATAATTTTAAAGCCTAGAATATAAACTGGATACAATCCTAAACCTTTAAAAACAATGCATATATTCTTTTTTCTCTTAAAGGCAGGGTATGTGATTTTTCAAAAACACTTTAGAAAACTGATTCGGGCCGAATAGCAAAACAAACTTGTAGCCAATCAGCAATAAGGGGCGTGTCTACTCATGATGTGGAGGAGAGAGTGTTCAGTGCATGGGACGGACATTAGCCGAGCCGAGCGACAGAAAGATAGAGATGGCGGATAAAAAAACAAAAGAGGAAAACGTCTGCGGAACGATAAGGCAAGAAGTAGGACCCGTGTAAATATCGGATCAGCTTTCCAGCGCTGGAGAGAACTCAAGGAGCGGAGGCCTGCGATCGGACGCCGAGGTTGCTATGTTTCTTCTCAGTAGGTGAGTAACACCGTGTCTACAACAACTAAAGTCTGCCTACACTGGACGCGATAAAACGACCGTTGAAAACCATTTGAAATTTGTGTCAGCACGTCATAAATAGAACCCGGCAGCAGTTTTCTGTCGGGGATTTGTTGCACCGCGCCGCTCACGTCCGTAGACACGGTGTAACATTGGTTTTGCTTTCTTTCACAGAAAATGTCACATTTTGAGTTATCATCAACAATTTGAGCGAAAAATGGTGACTTATTTGTCATCATTTAGGTTGTTCAGTCAGTGATAAAAAAAAACAAAAAACGTAAAACTAAGCCAGTAATGACTTCTTTATAATCGTCTTACGAACTCTCACTGCAGCAGAATTTATTCAGACACTCAAGACAATTTTTTAAAAATCATGGTAAAACATGTGAGCATCCGAATTTACATGCCATTGCCTGAATTTACATGTATAGATATCTGTATCTGTTTGTGGATGTGTGATAGTTTATGTTGTGCAGTTCTACCAGTTTAACAAGTTTTGCTATAACAGAAAATAATTGTTGTGTGTATGAAATGTATTTGGTAAGTGTGTGTGTGTGTGTGTGTGTGTAAGCAAGTATTCTGAGGCAAAACACATGAATGTCAACACGCCATTTTGTGAGACTCTGATGATGATAATACATGTTTTCTCTTTTCATATTTTTCTTTTAGCATTCACGTCATTTAGATAAAGTTCATTTGTTTGACGCTGCTGATTATTAATGGAATTACAGATTTAAGATCTGGTAATGATTTACCCCTTTTGAAGAGCTGCGTTTTAAAGAGATGAAGTGTGTGTTCATGTGTAAAATAAAGAGGGATGAACGTATGATAATTATGCAAGGAATAATGTACAGTAAGTTATTTATACAGCTATTTTGAAATGACAGGCTCATTGTACATTATCCCACCTATTACATGTCTACTCACCAAATAAACAAGTCATTATGATATTGATATAGAACTTTTTTTGTAGAAACTGCAGAACAGAACATGTATGTAAAACTATAAGCTTTCGGGATGAGCTGTCTTGTTATATAATGTTGTGTTGAATAAAGAGATATTTACAATTGATCAATACATCAAGAGACCAATCTTTTCTTTTTTTTTCCAGAGAGCTGTGCAATAGTAATAATACAGTCAAGTGCAAACCTTGCCGTTTTACATAGAAATGTGTGGAATAAGGAAAAAAATGTTTCTTAGAAAAGGTGTCTCGTGTTGTTTCTGCTGCAGTTTATCACAAGAGATCAAGTCCAATGTAAAGAAAGATGAGAACTTTGAAATGTATTTTATAAACCTGTAGAACTCATCGACTGTGACACATGCTTCATTTGATATAAAGGGAGAATACTTTGTCATCTTTTACTCACCATCATGTTATTTCAAGCTTGTATTCCTTCAGTGGAACACGAAATATGATGATATGCAGCATGTTTACTGCTCTTTTCAATACAATGAAATGGCAAACAAGCATAATAACCAGCATACAGTGACCAGGGCCTGACACAAAAAAATACATAAAATTATCATACAATAGCTGTTTGGAAGAAACAGAACAACAGTGGGTCATTATTATCTTTTCATTGTTGCCATAAAGTCAGACATAATGTGTTATGATGAGTGTGACACAGTGGTGTGACTAGTGTCAATGACATCATGGCATGACACATAAGTAACTGTACAACTCAAATAAACTTGACGCGCCTCACATTGTCTAACAAGCACAACTGTGATAATATTGAATGTGAATGGCAAGACAACCAACCCCGTGCCGTCAAAGGCTATAGTACTGCAAGATGGCGGCGACGTTGAGAGTGGAGTGGTTTAGACTTGATCTAAGACTCACTAGCGCATCTCTATGAGGATCATGAAGACAGAAACACAGATCAGATTCAGTCCTACAGAACAAAACTAATTCATCAAGAACTACAGAGAGGAAAAGCATCACAAACTTTTTAAGTGTCTTTTTAAGTGTTTAATTAAGTCTAAATCCTGGTATGATGACACCACTGGTAATGTCTGGGTTGAACATGAGTGAACCAATGAAGGCTAACATTTCTCTTTGCATTTATGTTGCTATATTATGATGTTTTATTGGTTTCTCTTGTCATCAGAATAAACATGTTTATAGCAAGATAAAACATGTTCACTCAATAAATGTTCTTCATCTTCATCTGTAGCTGTAGGACATCCTCCAGTGATCACCGTAGATGGGTTTGATGATTCAGGAGGGCTTCGTCTACAGTGTGAATCTGAAGGTTGGAACCCTGAACCTGTTCTTGAGTGGCTGAACAGTGAAGGAGTCAGTTTGAGTTCAGAAACTACAGACACACACAGAAACACAGACGGATTCAGTGTGAAACACACTGTATATGAGAGAGACAGCAAGATTAACTGCAGAGTCAGACTGAGACATCACATGCTGGAGACACAGATTGTGACCAAGTAAGTACTGACACTTTTGTTTCTGTAACTGTTTGTCATCTTCTCATGGTATTTCTGATGCAGTGTACATTTTACTGTGTATGTACCATTTGCAGCTGAACATAACATATACTTTACACTGCACAATTCATCAAAGTTTAGTTTTGATTTCGATTTTGGCTTCCAATGATTATTAATATAATCATGATTATAATATTGATCAAATTAATCATGATTATGATTTCTGCCATAATTGAGGAGCC